TTAATGATTCTATGATTCTATGATTTTTGTCCTATTTTTTTTTCTGCTAGTTATTATTGAAGCTTATGGGTTAGTGAGGGGGGAGGGAGGGAAGGGGATAAACATTCACAAATATATTAAAAAGTTTTCGAGTAACTGCTTTGATTCCTTGTAATCCAGCCACCATGTGATGGTGATTAGAAAGAGATTTCCTCAATCAGCATCTTACTCTAAAATTAGTCACTGGATCTCTTGTGCCCATTCAAAGCATTTGGTAATCACCATTGTGAGTCAGGATGTTGGGCCTGGTGTGCTATTTGTTTTACCGATTTTAATATCTACTGACTTTAATTTTATTCCTTGTGAATATGACCTTTCATGTGGAAAACACTAAGCGTATTTGTACATCTGCATAAATCATAAGGAACTTACCTTACTATCAGTATTTAAATCGTTGCTGTTTTCTGAGGGAGTCATGGAATCATCATTGCTTCGAAGAAGGTCGCTTTTCTAGATAAGCAAAGAAACCACAGAAAGTCAGCTAAGTCTTTCTGAGCAGAGCAGTAAAGCTGTTTCTGCGAGACAGAGGAGGAGATGCCATAGGTTTATTAGGGGGTTTGAATATGGAGGTGTGAGAAAAGCAAAGAGCAAAGTGAGGCAGCATGGAGACTTGGGAAGGAAATAAACTGATATGAAAGTAAAAAACAGAAATGGAAATACATGTATCAGAATGCAGTGAATTAAGAGAAGGATAAGTCAGCAAAACAAATTTACAACTTAACAAAGACGCATGACATTCCAAAAATAAATTTTCTTCACACACTGTAGAGTTCTTCAGAAGGATTAAAAAAGAAGCTGCCATCTCCAGAATATGTTCATCCTGTCAGGTGAAGGTGATGACTCGTCATTTATTTATTTTTCTTTGAGGTAGGAAGATACACCTGCATGGTATCCTACTCTCTGCATGTATGTATGTCTACCCATATATACTCAGCCCCTTCTTTGGAACAGAAAAACAACAACAACAGTTCAGAAAAAGAATAGTTCAGGATGGCTCACATAAACAGCTAAATCCCGAACAGCTGCATTGCAGATACTCAGGTTTTTTTTCCTGAGGTTTAAGAAAAATAAAACGAAAAGGAAGATGAAAATACTTGTAACTAAGAATTGTAAATCAAAGTAAGACTTGAGAAAGAAAATAATTTTTGTGTTGTGATTTCCTTGCCTCAGACATTGTGTCTGGTTACACATTACCTTGTTTACTTTCTGCCAGATGACAGTGGGTGTTGGATCTCCAGATATGGGAACATCCAATCTCAATTTGTTCCCAGCCACCACGACAATAGTGTCAGGGGATTGGCCCAGACAGTCAAGGTGGATTTTGGGAGGTTCTATAGCAAAGGCAGAGAAAATAAGTTTTAAATATCATTTTAGTCTTGTGTATCAGAAAAAAGAAAGGTGAATATTCATACATTAAAAATTAAGAAACACTGCTTCCTTTGCCATTGAAAATGTATTTACTTGCATATAAGTAATGACAGCTGTTCTTACCTTCTCTTGGTACAAAATCAATCTTGACCTCTGGGGGAAGAAAAAGGGAGGAGAGGGTAGGACAAATAGATCAGAAAACAGAATTTGCATAGCATCTGCACTCAAAAAGTAATGTTAAAGCTCTTCATCATTAAAACCTCATAAGACATATGCATCAAGAGATTAATGCAATAAACTGGAAAACAGGCTCTGTAAAACAATGTGATAATGATAACACAAAATAACTAGAAAAAACACTGTGCCTAAATTGAGGTATCAGGAAAGAGATTCTGTTTACTCTTTCCTCGTATAACCATGATTAATGCCATCATTTTATCCCTCTGGAATTCTCATTACATATTCTGAGATAACTTACCCAAAAACTGAAGCTTGGCAGAAAGGTTGTAAGCAAATCCCTGAGGGATGAAGGAGTAATCAGCCTCGTCATCTGGTGTTACGTCCTCAATAGTTAGCTTATGGATTCTGGAAACATGAACAAATATGTTCTACTCCCTTACCTTCTCCAGGAGAAACAGGGCTATCTCAAGAGACACGGTGGAGGCTGTAGGGTATTAACAGACATTATTATTTCTTCTCCCCTTGCCCTATCATCAAGTCAACAACCATCAGCACCGTAGACTGCTCTGCTTTCAGTATTCAAGCAAATCCATGTCAGCATGTTGTCTATGAATGGGTTGTTCTTGTCAAGGTAGATGCATAGGCTAGTCTGAATAGAGGAAGCAGTTTCTCTGCTTTATTCCAGTCCTTTACCATTACAAAGGCAGTTGTAACACTGCTGACTGGTTTGGTTTGATCAGATTGTAACTACAATGAATTCTGGAAAAACAAGCTTAAAATTGATGCTTCATCCCTGTACTATTCTGAATTCAAAACAGAATACAGGAAAGGAGTACCAAGGAAGACATCTAACGTGTAATGCTTATTTATCTTCTGAATCTTCTTGATCTTCATTTCCAGTACTAGTTAGACTGCTAAAAAACTTGAGCATAGAATTGCACAGCTGTATGTGTTAATATAAACACTATTTTTTCTGAAGGGGTTTATACATGTGCTGTCTTAATCTGTCTCAACGCTACTGCTAATTTTAAAGTTATCAACAATGTGTTTTCCAGATTGAATACCAAGAAAACACGAAATCCTAATGAAAACTGAGAATGAATTCTGGTGATATACCACTGATGCCATGCATGCAAAACGTACCAGCACAGAAAGACTGCATGCGTACCAAAGCAAATCTGTGACTATATGTCTGAGAAGGCTTTTACCTTTTTTCCTTTTAGCTGGAGCCAGGACAAAATCTTGTTATGTATTCCCATCCCCTAAGAGAATAATTCTGGTGGACTGTAATGCAATACCCAAGCCTGTACCTGCGTTCTGAAACAGGACTAACCTGCCAATGTGGGAGATCTTTATCCTTTCATCTGGGATCACCTCCTTTCCATTTTTCAACCAGATGCCTTTCACATTTTCATCAGAAACTTCACACTTGAAGACTGCCTGGTCACGTGCCTTCACTGTCAGGTCCGCAATGCTCTGATAAACTTCCAGCTTTTTCTCTGATATTGTGAGAATAATCAATATACACATCAACAAATCAGAATAGCTCTGTAAGTAAAGAGTTGATGTGGATTTACTGAGCAGAAGAGGCTAGGGGTGAGCAAGCTGTTTGTGGAAGGGTGAAATATGAAGGGAAATCCACAGTGTGCAGGTCATTAACAGAAATGATAGCTAAGTGCCTGTTATTATCAGAGTATCTGTTACATCCGTTACATAGGTCTGAGTTCTCCTTCAGGCCTTTATTACCAAACCTTATGTCCCTTATTAAGTCATCTTTTTCCCTGGCATGAGGATTATGCTACCTCTGTGTGCTATCCTGGAGAAGGTTACCTTCAGCCTGTTTTCATCTTTCAGCTTCTCTGGTTCTGTAATATTACCTGTGCCTACCTTGTACAATGAGTTCAGCGACTGATACCCCACCATTGGTCTTCACGGTGTAGTGGCCGCTATCCTCCTTGGTTGTCTCATTAATAATTAGATACTGCTTTTTTCCATCTTTCTTGAATCGGTATTTAAATGTTTCTTCCCGTGTCAGCTCAATTCCGTCCTTTTCCCTGCAATGCCAAACAGTGCTGAGTCATTTTTCTGTGGTTGAAAGAGGAAAGGAAGAGTCAGCTCAATACTGATAGAGATTGGAAGACACAAGATAAATCCAATCTTCGTAGCATTTCAAGTTAGAGAAAAATAGACCATTGCACAAATGTTAGTGGAACCAGAACACTTCTAGCTTGACCATTAATTTTCACTAGATTTTGACTTCTGGTTCAAGAGAGTTCACTCACAAGGAATAACTTGATTGTTACTATTTACATGGTATAAATAAACACAAAAGTATGTTAAATGCTGTAGAAGATAGAGGGGTGAAGAGACACTTCACCAGCAGGGAATGTACTATCTTAAAAGCTGCCATAAGGTAAAAGGGGCTTGCTGGGAAATTACTTAAGTCTTAACTCCCCTGATGTGAATGATGATTGTTACAAATTCATGGTTTGTGCACATCAGTAAAAGAATAAAATTTTAGGCTGGATTTAAACAGAGATATATGTTGAATCTTGTCGCCCTTTCCATTCAAGCATGCGGCAGTATATTTAAGACATTACTAAATTAAGCTTCACCATTCAGCCTGGGAGGAAATTTAATTATTGTAATTTCCAGTCATCATGAAAGGAAATAGGCAGAAAGGATTCATGCTGTTTAGTCAAGGTCACATAAAAATGCATGATACTTTAAAGATTTCTACTTCCTAATCCTAAGTAACATAAACAGGCTATAAGAAAATAACTTGGAATTTCTTCAACTTACTCCTTTTGCAGCATTTAATATTTTTCATTATTATTTGAATAGATTTATATTTTGTTACTTGAATACTGCTGCAGTTTGTAAATGAAAAAGTTTTTCTCTTTGGTACTTACTCATGTGGAAAAAGAAATAGAAAATATGTTTTTTATAGAGTAAGAATTTTCTTTCTACGTTTTGTTATTTCTGTTATTTGTTACCAGTGACTATTCAGCTTAACAAATGAGCTTACAGGACAGCAAATTGAAATGCTGCTTAGTGATTCATTAAAATACTGTAGGAAACCTTTTGCCTCTCTGTTTGCTGAAGTAAATCCCAAGATCAAAACTTTAAGCAGAGGCAACTACAACTTGTGATTTAGATGTATTTGCTGCAACTGCATTTCAAGATACCTACAGGTTACTCCCTCCTAACTGTTCTTTAGAGCCCAGCTTATTGTAACTTAGTTGTTTTAGAAAAACACTGTCCTCTTGTCCAGATCACAGGGCTACAACACTAGTAAGGGAGGAAACAGAGGATGGCTATATCAACCACATGAAACACAGCACTTAGTGTTATGGCAGGATAATGTCTCCTCTGCTTGCCAAGTGCCGAGAGTTGAGGCCACATGCAGGATGCTCTCTTAAGGCTGATATTCTCATTCGTGCAGATTAGTTCTGGAACAAGTGCCGCAATAAATGTGTGAACCTTTGCTGAACTGCTGAGAATGGGCTGTAATCTGGAAGTTCAACATGCTGCTGCGTCAAAACCAAAGCTGAACATTTAGATTTAATTTTTGGTGATGTATTTTAACATGTGGCTCATGAAAGATACCTGAATATTCTATTCAGCCATTGGTAAGAAAGATCTCTTGAAATCTTGTCTCAATAATAAAAATAGACTATTTGCAATGACTAGTGTCTTAAATCCCTGGGAAGGGAATAGTATATTTAACTTGTGTTTGTTTTAGTGACTGGCATGTTCACAGAATCACAGAATGGTTTGGGTTGGAAGGGACCTTAAAGACCATCTAGTTCCAACCCCCCTGCCATGGGCAGGGACACCTCCCACTAGCCCAGGTTGCTCAAAGCCTCATCCAGCCTGGCCTTGAACCCCTCCTGGGTTGGGACAGCCACATCTTCTCTGGGCAACTGTCCTGGTTTCAGCAAGTTCAACCATCTGCTTTCACCTTTGCCACTCAGTGTCTCTTTTCCTGGACATGCTATTTCCTGTTTAGAATGTGAGGTTATATCCACTAATGTCTTCTGAGATATCACTGATGTAAGTAAGTACTGGGTGATAATGGGGATACACAGATTTATTGTTATTACATTACTATTGTTTGTTTTCATTTAGAGGTAATAAGATGATACATCCAGCATTCAGAGATGGAAAACTAGAGGTCAAAACTATATATTCTATTACATTTTTTTTTTTAAAGAATTATGTTGTTTCCAAGAGCATCTGAAGTTTAGAAATAACTATTCCATAGTACTGTGTGATAATAATAATGTGAGACCTTTCTGGGTGATCAAGAGAACATTCTTTCCTGGTTATTATGAAGAGACCCACATAATGAATTCTGCAAGCCTCAGTCTGATGGCCATACCTAAGAGGCTGTAAGACTTATTTCTGTCTTGTGCAAGTCACATCATTGCTTTTGTTCATGTGCTTGTGATTTCATATCCCAGGTTTAAAGGGTGCAAGAGCTATAACAGGTGCCGAGTCAGTGAGCGTTACTTGGCTTGAGCTGTTGAGCATTTCCCTAGTGAGCCATAAAACTGGAACTCTCTCTGTACTGTGTTTCATGTTTTCCCTGGACACTTTTCTCCATCATCCAAAATGTTCCCTTTGTTGCCAAAGAGATTTGACTGAGTCTCACACAATAAAACCAGTAAAATACAGTGTAAACATCTAACTGCTCAGTTTTCCATTGCAATGATTTGAAGAGTTTTTCTGACCACTTGCTGCATTTCAGGCTGAGACAGCTGCTGGTTTGCCCTTGTCACACCAAATGCCCATCCCACAGATACCAGCTCTGCAAGATGTATGGGAGTTGTTCAAAGGCATAGGATCAAAGTGTGGCAGCTGCACTGTGCTCTGAGAGGGACAGATCTGGTTGTCCCCATCTCTTGTGACCAGGCATCTGTAAGCAGTTCCTGAACAATGGCATGTGTGCGTCTGTGCATGTGGCTTTAATAGTGTAATGCATACGCTGTACTCCTGGGCTCTACTTAAATTCTCAGTTCCTTCCTTTGGGAGAGCAGATGAGTGGCTGGCACTTTCCAGGAATGTCATGGGCATTGTGGGAACAGTTAATAACCCTGTGCCCGAAGCTGTTAACAAGCATGAAAGAATTTCATCTGGTAGAGAAATGAAGTGAGAACAGTGTGTGTAAGGCCTGGTATGTCAGCACTGCCTGCTGTGCATGTCCAAGCAGCATGAACCTTCCAGCTTCCGCTCAGCTGGAATGTCCAATAAAATGGACTCTATGGTCTAAATGTTTGTCATCTTAATCCTGCTCGCTGCATATGCATAATGACCGGCTTTAGAGGATCACCACAACAGATATGTCAAAATAAGTCAATGACCTTCCCTCTCTGTCTCAAGAGACACTAACTTATTACCTAAGAAAAATACTTTTAAAAAACCCAACCTACTGCAGTTGAGAGGACCAGAAAATTCCATGAAGTATAGCAAACTCATCACAATACGGATCTGATTAGTCTGGGCAATAGTTAAGACATTACTGTCAAGTGTTTAGAAAACTTTAGAGCTAACAGCTTGGTACAGTCAGTAGCATCCTGTAAACACTGAACAAGAAATTCTAGAGAGAGTATAGAATATCTAGACTTAATTTGTTTTCTGCCATGTTCTGGCCTCTTGGTTCCTCCTCAATGTTTGACGTATAGGAAGAGGATCAATCTTTTCCTGAAAACAGTTATGTTGGATGCCTTCTTCCTTTTTATTCCACAACTCTTGTCCACAAACGCTGGCCCTAGAATATCCCAGGGAAGGATATAGTTTGGTGGTGTTTGGGTTTTTTTCCCTTTTCTGTTCACTTACCATTTCACAGTAGCTCCTTCCTCAGACACTTCACACTCAAACTCCACTCTCTCTCCAACCATCACCATCTGGTCCTCCAGTGGGTGAGTGATCAGAATTGGAGGTTCTGGAAATTAAGAGATTTTTATTAAAATAGTATCCTGAAAGACTGAAGACAAGAGGTAGGTTTCACCATTCTGCATTCCACAAGAAGAACCCCTAGCCAAATTCATGGTGTTGCTCTCTGTGTTAGAGCTTAAAATTTACTATGCCGGATCACATTAGTGATGTTATCAAATGACTTTTTGGGTTTTGCTTCATGAGACAGAATACAAAACCAGGATTAATCAGTTTTCATATATATATGCTGAAATTCTAAACTGGAGGCATTACTTTTCTGTACTATTTGATGTGCTTATAGAGCTTGAGACACATGTTTATCTTGAGCAGAAACAAATTTTTAAAGTAAGTTTCTAGCCATACTGTTGAAAAGGTGTAAATCCCATTCCAAAGGAGAATTAATGGTAATTATTACTGTGCTGTTCTCCTGTTCTTTCTTAGTTGCAGCTATAGGGAATATTTTCCTTCATTTAACTGTTACAAAAATATCTATTTCAGTAGATGTCAGAATTTGGTCATATATTTGAGAATTTCCTTTCCTACAAGATTAACTAATGTGAGAGTAAAGAAGGTGACAGTAATTAGATGCTGAACGTTAGGGGAGATTGCTTTACTTTTGCTACCATTGCTCACCTTTTACAAATAATTCTGTGAAGCTCTTCTCCTCCCCTACCACACATTCATATGCTGCATCATCGGCCAGAGAGCAGTGGTTTATGGTCAGTATTCTCTTATTCCCAACAGCCTCAAAAATGTATCTGAAAGGAGAATCTAAGTGTAATTATCAGAGAGTAAGTCTTTTGGACCCAGTCACTGTCTTCCCCTGCCTGGCAGAGAAAAAGGTTCCTACTTTTTTTTCTGACAGCAGTGGCAAGGTTTGTTAAGACTCGAGCACTATATCCATGTCTCAGTGACAGCAGTAGTGTTTGAAAAACTAGCATAGGAAATTATGGAGAAATCATCATACAAGTGTGAGACATACAGACTCCTGTGAGTGGTGTTGGATGCTTTTCTAACATCTAGCCATCCAACAAACCTGACGGCCATTAAAAATGCCTTGTTATGGCTTCAGCACAAAATCACTGGAAATTGGTTTTACAAAAAAGCTACACTGAAGTATATCCCTTATCATGAGAAAGTAATTTTGAACCCTGCATATACACATAAAGACCAGAATATAATCTGAGGACTTACTTGCTGAGTAGGTAGATGTAAGCATCCAGTTCCACGTGTAGATGCATAGAGTAGAGAGAAGAAAAAGAAACAGTCATGAGAACAGCAAACTGACCCTTAGCCAAAGCACTATGTAGATTCTTTCACAGCTCCTATTTCTCCCTATTTTATTCCTTTCTTGCTAAGAACAGCTAGTTTTTCTACTGTGTCCAAGCTGTAGGCCATTCCTTTTTTGATTTCTCATCTTTCTATTTTACCTGCCGCTCACTTGGATCTCCTGTCCATTCTTCAGCCATTTCACATCAGCATCTGGGTTGGCAAGTTCGACTGTTAATTTAATCTTTTGCCCTTTGTCCACTTGGTAAGCTGGATCCAGTTTCTTGAGGAATGCTATGATGAAGAATGATTAAAAAAAATAGTAATCATTTTTATGCTTACCATTATTTTTTTTTTACATTCTCTGTTAGGAAAGTAAATATTCCCTTTCCTGTTGTTCACCATCATCTTAAACCTTCCCCTCTTTCTGCATCCCTCTTTGCATTTTTATCATTTCTGTCTGTTCTTCATCCTGTTCTGTTTTCTGTTGTTCCTTAACATAGGATGAAAAGCATGTGATATAAACAAGAATAAGTAAAGTAGAATGTTCTAAATCAGATGAGAATATGTACTTGAATACATCCTACATAGAATTACAGCTACATCTGTCCGTGTAGGAAAATGATACTGATCTTCTCAGTACTAATGAATGGTAGCTTGCCTTCTCTGTTTCAGACTTTAAAAATAAATCAGTTAAAATTAGGTAATTAATACTTCACAAGACTAGAAAAGGCTCAAGAACTCCAAATGTATCATCCCAATGGACATGAAATTCTTTAAATCTATCACTGATACCTGACATACTGACCAGTTTTGGGGAGTGGGAGGAGTGGAGGGTTGTGGGAATAAAGAACTGGTGGTTAGCAAAAATGTAGACTGACCTTCAGGTTAGAGAATGGTTGTGGACAAGTGCGGCAGCACTGCAGAAAGCCCTACTGCAAGTGTGAGAAGCAGCAGGTTCAAAGCACCATGTAGTGGAAAACAGACAACCTGAAGGTCAGTAGAATGTAAAAACAAAACTGAGATGATGTAATCCTGGGTGATAAATTGGGAGCTGGCACACAGCACAGTAGCATTTGCTCTCGGCAATGCTCCTGTTCAGCAAACCGGAGTGTGTTTGGTGTGTTTCAGCGTGCGTGCTGATCCCCGAGGGCCAGAGATCGGCAGAGGGTGTTGTTCTATGTTCAGGGAAATATAAGGGACAGAGCTGAAGAAACTAGTAAAATGGACAGGTTCAGAATATCCAGAGTTCCAGAGCAAGGTAGCTTAGAGCTTTGGGCGTAGCTTTAATCTTTGCTAATCAGCATTTCACATGTAAAGACTGTGCAACAATTGGAATAGGAAACTCCTGTTTCTCATGCTCTTGTAGCTGGCTCCTTTCCAGCTGATGCTAATATTTGAAGAACTCTCAAAAAAGATATGGACACATACATTTGGAATAAATACAGCTCACCAACCTGTACTTTTTTTCTCTTCCTTCTTTATGCGTTTGAGGCGTTTCAGCATCCCCCGCAAATCTGTGATACCATACTGAAAAGCAATTTTCTCGTATTCGGAAGGAGGAGCTTTCCTCAGGATTTCCCAGACATCAACATCAGACTGTGACTCAGATTTTGCTTCACTTCTGCAGAAAGGGATTAGAGTATCTGAGTGCCAGTACTGAGAGGAATTTAAAACAAACATAGACTTGGCAAGCTACATATTGGCCTGATGAAGCCATTTCTTAGTAAAGAATTTAACAGTCCAATTTTTTGCTATATTATTACCTAAACTAATGAAATAAACCTGGTGACTAGTTTTACTTCTATTTATATATACAGTGATTAAAATCCAATCGCTGTCCTGAAAGGTTTACTTTCTAATAGCCAAAGAAAATAAATATTATCTTCCCTTTAAAGATGGGTAATGGAAACACAAGGAGACTTTTTTCCAGTGATAGTCATACACAAAACATGTGGCAAAGCAGGGAACTGAACAAGGCAGTTGGTTTATGTTAATAAGAAACAAGTCCAGTTCTACTCAGGATGTTTTTTCTCTTCACTGAAGTGAATCATAAATTATTAAAATATTTATCACCTAGTGTAAAGACAATTGTTGGCTACAGCAATCTATAAAACATAAAGACACACAGACTGGTGAGTAGTGGCAAACAAGACAATATTTACAGTGGACTACTTGTTTTATAGTTTAACCAAAGAACTAGTCATTATGGAAGAATTAATGTTTAGTTTGGCAAAACCAAGTGAAAATTTGGTTGTCTGGCTTTGGGAAAGGCATTCTTTTTCTGTCGTTGTATTTTTTATTTAAAAGATCATAACTGGAAAAGGAAATTGGTGTAACCTTACCGATTTACTGAGCGCAAGAAGCTGCTGTACTCCAGAACGATGCAGAGAACCATTTGGAAAAACATGTGGCATCCCGATGAGGAAGAAAGAAGGCATCATGTGTTAATACAAAAGAGCCATGAATGTCATCTTCACCTTCATCAGGAGAAGCCTGTGCTTCAGTAGCAGGGAGGTGAAGGAGCCCGTGCAAAACCTCTGAAGTAAGCTTAAGAAAAATGCTGTTCCCTATTGAAGCCAAACTCACTCCCACACTTTGTACAATTCCACTCTGCAATTTATATTGTAAGCATAAGCACTTCTGCTTATTCCTCAGTATGGCTGATTGCCTTACAGGGAAACAAATAGCTCTATTTTCTTCTGTTGTCATGGAGTTGTTGCCTGTCATAGTTTGCATTTTGGTAAACAGAGAAAGGAGGAAAGGAGTAGCATTTTCTCTAAAAATTTCTTTAGGAAAAGGAACTTCCTGTGGCTGTTGTTTCTGATAGCACCAGGACCAAGCAGATTCCAGTGCAGCAGAACACACCCTTGTAACGAAGCCATATTTGGTGGTAAACACCAACAAGACAACAAGTTATGCAGCAGGTAATGCAGAGGAAAGTGGAGGATCATTGGGCATATTTCCATTTTTTTTCAGGAAAAGGACAGTCCCATTAGTCTGTGAGAAATACTACTACTTAAAAAAGCATGACTGTAATCAGTCTAGACAGCAGGTATAACCAAACATTTCTGGTACTCCTTTTATTGCCCAAAAAGGACTTGCTTGTAACAAGAACACTTTGTTTATTAAAGTACTGCAGTCCAGGCTTGGGATTTCCAGCAACCTTGTAGTTCTTGAGCAGAAGGGAAGCAAGAGAAGAGGATTTCAGCTCAGTGGAGCTGAAATATGGTATGCGATATCTTGTATCTTTGGAGTGGTTTAGCACTCACTAAGCACTAAGCCTTCATTAGCACTCATTGAATTGATAGGTGTATCTGAAGTTTGGAGTCCTTGCGATAAGTGCAGCCTACTGAGTATTTGTGTTGTCATAATAGTGCATTGACATCACCCACAAATTTAATCAGGATTCCACTTCTCTGTATATCTGTCATTTAGTTTGTGGCACCTACAAATAGTTTGCAGTTTTGCCTAGCAGAAGGCAGGACAATTAAACTCATTTGCCAAATAGACCAACATTTTTCTTAACGTAAGCAGTTCTTGGGGTAGTTGCCCTGATCATATCAATGAGCAACTTTAAAATATTTCTAAATACATATAAGTTGGAATAGATATACAAGTACATAAAACTAGGAATGTATTATATTTCTAATATGTGCTGAATTCTTTGTACTAGTACAATTAACATTCTGTGGAGGAAACTGTGTCTCAAAAGGAAATATAAAAACAGAGGAAATATGAAAGATGTAATTTAAATGTTGTTATTTTTCATCAGGCATTAGATAAATATTGGTGGTCTCTCTGTCTATCTGCCTACATATACGCTCATGTGTATATACTCCTTCACCTGAAAATTTTCAGGTAGGATTATTCATAGAGTTTTCAAAAGTATTTTGTGTGAGTTATTTTTAAATACATCATGAGAAGAATCTTCCAATTTGGAAGTATATCTCACTATTGAGAAGACTTCCTTAATTTTTGCTTTAGCTTTTCCATTACTCAGTGTCGTCTCATTGCATATCTGGCAAACTGTTTTTGTGCATGCAAGCTGAAATACAAGACATTTGATCATAAGCAAGAGTATAGTCCCTTCCTTGGAAATACTAGTGTTTTCTTAATACAGGGAAAGGCTTGTACGTTGCATGTAAAATGGTACTAAAAACTAAAGGTTGTAATTTATGTAGTGTTTAACTGAGTTCTGAAAAAGAAAAGAAGAAAATGTCTTTGCCTCTGGGCAAAGGTTTTCCCATCCCAGTACACCTTTCCACCATTTTGTATTTGTTAAAACATCCCCTTTGATCCCATAAAGACCCAGTTTCCAGAGTTAGGCTGTACTCTTCCACTACCAACAGGAACCAAGCAGTGTACGAAAAGTAACAGAGCACTTGGACTCCTGAAGTTCCTCCCACCCTTACATTACTGTCCCTGATGCTGGGGACTCTTATTCAGAGCGATCACCTCATAGGTTAACTATGCAGTTGAGGGCATTAAGATGCAGCTTAGTGAACCTGCTGTAAATGGAATATGCAGCTGATATGTTTTAAACATATGTGGAGGGGTTAAAAATAGTTTTGTACATCCCAGAGATGGTTCCTTCCTATCCCATTACTGTCAACTGATTGGAGCCTGTCAGCTGTCACCTCCTTCAAGGTCTCTGCTCACTATCCCATTTAATAGTTCTGTGACAGCTGTTCCCTTCCTCTTCCCAATGACCTCTCCTTGGCCCATGACATCTGTATGTCAACACCAGTTAATTAAATTACAGTGATAGGAGGCACAGTACTAAACGAAGCTCTCTTTATTACAGTGGGAATGTTCATTACCTCTGGACTGAGGGGCACTTGTAAATTAAGTGGCACAAAGCAGAAGTGGTAAAAGAAAATAATCTTCAATTCTATTTGAATCTGCATAGCTCTTGAGAGTTCCTCAGCATGAGGTCCCTTTCTCTATTCTGTTGTGTTTTAATGAAGAATACTTGCATTCTATGATGAGTTTTTATGCCTATCAGTTCTCATTAATGTTGTGTGCAAAGGCTGAAGGATCCACAAATCACTTCTGGAGTGGCTGTGAAAAATGACGAGGAGCAGTGAATTTATCAGTACGCTTAAATTCACTAAACAGAGATTTGTAAGTCAAGAAAGGTCAAAAACACTGATAAAATGCAGTGAAATTTATAAGCTGCTTTTAATGAATTATATTTCTAGAATAACAAATAATGAATAGTTAAACCCACAAATTGAACATTTCTGGAAATAACTGAGATTTTTACTAGTTTTTAGGGTTTTATCACTGCTCAAAACTAATTATAAAAGCAGAAGGGAGAAGGGAGAGAGCTTGTAGTACTTAATACTTCATTCCATCTGGAGTCACTGTATGAAAATGTGAAAATATTTTCCTGTTGGCCTCCATTTATTTGAAATTTTTAAAAAAGACAACAACAGTTCTTTTTTCCTTACATTTTCTATAGAAATTAGAATGTGTGTACAATTGCTCTATTTCAGCTCCCAAACCTGTACTATTTTGATTACTGCCATTATTCAGAAAACGTATTTTCTCTACTTTAGAATTACAAAAAGATTCTAATGCACTTTTTGTTTCAGACTTCTCTGGGGTTCATGATGCAACAAGAAACTCAGCCGTAGAAAGTTTGATAGGTGTACTTTGTGCCTTGTCTAACTGGCCCCCTTGAGAGTTTTGATTGTAGTGTTACTGCAAAGCCAGAATCCACTCCTGTTTGGGGACACTGCATATGGCATAATACAGGGCTCTGGATACCTGCGTGACCCGGTTTGCCCCACTGAAATTTGGGTGAGTTAACCCGAGTGAAACATGAGGCTGCTGTGGCTTTATTGCCTTCCATAACCAAACTATTCCAGATGTCGACCTGATCCTGTACTCTCTGTTGAGATAAACCACATTTGATAAACAGTGATACAGATACCTGAGCAGGCTGAATGCAGGTTCACAACATTCACCCAAGCAGTTGATTGTGGAAACTTAAACTTAGTTTAGATTTGCAACATGTGAATCTAGTGACAAGTGTTTATAGTAACTTCAGGAGCTGGAAGGACAAAGTGAGCAGCCAGGGGCAGTGAACAGAAAGAAGCATGCTTGGAGTAATGGGATGATAATGTGCAATGGAAACTTTACTTTGAATAAAAATAAATGTTTTGTAACAGAGAAGCCCATACATTTATGGAATAAGTGACTTCAGTGATACACTCACTTAACATGTTTAAGGATGGATGGAACAAAACTTCAGCACATATTTGATATGAACCAGCAGACATATTATGCAAATGATTTTTCTGATTCTAATATCTCTGAGAATAGGAATTTAAAGCAGCACGTTATTGAGAAAAATCTGGAAATTCAAGGACAATATAAAATTGCTTATAAAACAAAGGGGTGGTGAAAACCAAAGGACATTCTGAGAAATACATTGATTTGTATTGAATGGTCCACCCGTAACTTCTTCTAGGTGTTTAAAAGCATTTCTGCCTCAGAAATTGGTGGCTGATAATTTTCTTCCATGCTATCTAATTTTTGCCACGCTCTCCACATAAGAAAAATAAAGATGCATGCATTATTTCAAACCAAATGGTTCTTATATTCAGTCTGACCCATGCATTTATAATAAAATGAAATAGAAATCTTACTCTCTGTTGGTAACAGTGGAATCCAAAACATCCAGATTAAGATGGTGGTAAAAAGAGAAAAAGTTACGTTGTGAAAACAGATGTGGCAAGGAAGGATAAGAATAGGAGAAGAAATTCCACCAAAAAAAGTGAAAGTAAAAGCAAGAAACAAGAATGAGAATCAGAAGAGTAAAAAATATTTATATATTTATACAGCATAGAATATCTTTTTACATATATGATAAACAGCTATATAATATACAATATATAGTTGTATAGTATAATAGTAATATTTAGGTATCTAATAAAAAGGCTTGTCCTCTCAGCTCTCTGATGCAAAATATTGTGAAAACTTAGGACAGAAAATTCTTAATAAGGAAGCATTATAGACAGGTATTGTAAATTGTTGTTGTGTTTTGGTTTTGTTTTGGTTTGTTTTGTTTTTTTTGTTTTTTAATGAAAAGTGTTGATGGAAGCATGTAATTACCCTAGTCCCAGCCTCTTCTATCTTGGGAAAGATCAATATTTTTTTTTTTCCTCCAGTATATAGTTATCAGAAATGCAGCAAATGCTGAGTATTTGGGGAAGTTGCAATAATTACCTGTCATCCTTTTTCCAATTAGAGCTGCTCTAGGAAAACTACAAGGACTCAGAATTTATGAAACTTCTACTTATTCTAGTTTTAGTGTTTTCAGAGTTGTTCAACAGAAGCTCGTTACTTTAATTCTCTAAGTTTATGGATTATTACTCACCTCTTTTTCAGTAGGGCACTAAAATTAAACTCTCCACCTTCTTCATGTCCCTCGGTACTGTATAGTAACAGAAAACCATAGTTAGTTTCAGAAGGAAATGGGAATAGTTTGTGAGACTGTATAATTATGTAGATTATATCTTTTTGTAGGAGAGTAGCAGATGGGTTTAGAATGACATAGAATGTGCACTGACATGAAAGATGACTTATTCCATATTTGTCTTAATATAGGTTTAAGAAATATATTTAATGAACTTGTATTTTTTTCTGTACTGATTAAGGATAAAGTTGTACAGGGTATTAATATGGTGGTCACATTGATCTGGAATGTATTCATTATCATAAAGGTGTTGCAGAAGCTTTCCTTTAGAATCATTAGTGCTTTTGGAAAGCTGTAGTTTCAGGAATGTGATACTGTTCACAGTGTGGGGCAGTATTGGACCAACCTTTTTGTGGGACTTCTTACAATCTAAAATAACTTTTTTTTCGCTACTATTATCCCAGCTGTAATTGTTTCTTAAGGCTTTTTGTGATTCCAGATTTCATTATACTGAAAAAAGTGTTACATCATTGGTGCTTGGGAGAGTTAAAGGAGGAATTCTGTGATCTGGCTTTGATTCAGAGATGCGGTTCAATGTTCAACAAACATCATGGCAAACAATGTTGTGATGAATTGATTCGTGAAAACAAGAAGCAACAAGGAGGATTTTTTTGATGTGTAATTCTGTTATATATGGTGATCCCAGATGGAATGCACAATATTACTTTTAGTGTTCTGAATCAAATATGTTTTATCTGTGCTTCTGAACATTTGAGGTACAGATCTACTCTGAAAACTTAGTGTGAAGTCACTGAAATCACTTCTTTGGGTTTAATTTCTAAAAAATAATGTCAGCTATTGGATGTAAAAGTATCAGGAGTTACACTGGATTTCATGACTATTGATTATTCAACTTAACCAAAAAAAAGTCTTTTTTGCATTCAGACAGTGTTTAGAAACTCAAAATGGATTTTTTTCATCTTGGTCAGTCTCCCATGATCAATGTTCAGCTGTTCCTTGACACCTCGGTTGTTTTACTAATCTGATTATGCCATCTCATAGCATTCAGATTCTTCCAGCAGCAACACCTTATATTTAATTATTGTTTTATACACAGAGATTATCCTTTTCAGTTGTACTGGTGGTAGTGGTAGCCCATAATGCTGTCTCTGTCATTAGTTGCTTCAGAGAAAATCAGTCTGTCTGTAGAAGTGTAAACCAGAATGTCAGGAAAACTCAATATTGCAGGAACAAATATTTTAAAAAGTAAGAAAACAGCCTCAACAGATAAACAATGGGCATTTTACAGTACTGTTAATAAAACGGAAAGTGCCAAACTTCTTGTGCTGCTTGACAATGCAAGGTTAGTGACAATAAGACACAACTTTGAATCAGTGTGATTTTGAATACGTTGTGAGAAGAGATCTTTTTATTAAGGAAGTACCGTTTTTACTTCTGTGATTACTTTCAAGACAGTACAGTACTGGAAAGAATAATTTTCTGGGTATAATGCTCAAACAGAGAAGCGGATTTTTGTCCCCTTTGTTGCCTACTTTGAGAAGATTTTCAATGTTTGCAGGCATAAAATGTATATAAAAATCACTAGTATAATCCCAAATTTGAAAAGGGGTTCTTGAGATCAAATGTTCAGGAAATTAGAATCTGCAGCTGGGAGAATGACCAGTCACCTTATGCTTCCCAGGTGGTAGTGAAATCAGATTTTCAGGAAAGCCCAGCAATCAATGTTTAGCTTTTCTGAAGAATAAGACCCTAACAATTGCTTAAACATGCATAGAGTTAAGTCTAATCTCAGAGTTCCTGGTTTCATTGTGATAGAAGACATTGAGACCGAAAAGGATAGGGTGGAAATTTAATGATACTGGGATAAAGAGCGTGCCAGGAAACAGATTTTCGTATATATGTGTGTTGGTACATTTCTGTGAGCAGTGGCAATCTTGGTTAGGATGTGCTCAGTAGAGAGGAAAACATGTACAACGGAGTGGGCAGACATGCAAATAATTTGAAGTTACTTTTTTTCTTCTAACTAAACTTGCTAAACACATGCCTTTTCTGTAGATGAATCTGCCTCTCCCTGAACTCTCAAACTATTCATTATTTATAGTCATCTTACATTACTACTTACTTGTATGTATTCGTATAAATACTACATACTGTAAACAATGATTTGTTTGGAATTTAAGCTGCATCTAGTTCTGTGGGCTTTTTTTTTCCTTTTTTTTTTTTTTTTTTTCTTTTCCTAAGCAGAGAGAGACAGTTCAGTGTTAGACTTGAATTTGTCTGCTGACACAGACAGTAGCTACCTGAGAAAGGCTGAAGTCATCCGTCTCCCCGCTCCTGCCAGGCTCCTGAGTGAGAGTATCAAAGACAAAGCTTCAGATTTAAACAGTTCTGTTCAAAATTTGGCTTCCTTCTTACAGAAGAAACTGAAAATCTGAACAGCCTGAAGCTGCTCACATTGCACTCACACTGAAACGATTCTGAATTATTTTAATTGTGCTAGCAAGAAGAGAAACTCCTGAAGCCGAATTTCACTGTGGTGAAATAACACAATGCAGCGATGCACTGAGTGTCCTCTCTTTAATAGGTGTCCCAGTGAGGCCGGTCAGATGCCTATAGATGGATTTGACTGTAGATAAATTCTGCAAGCTTTTTTTAGTTCTTTGTGATAGATCATTTTAAAAATCCCTCATATAAATTCTCACAATTATAGGGAAAAACTGAAGGAGTTGCCACAGACAATTTGTGTCCTATGTTAGAGAAATAGATGTCTGTTGGGATATTCTTGGTCTAGTAACTTTGCAAAAATACATAAAAACTAAACCAGCAATTGAATTACACGAAGGGAGAAAAAATACTCAATTGTGAAAAAAAAAGTTGTTAATGTCTAAATAAAAAAAAACCCCAACCACTTTTGCTTATTCTATTAAGTCATATATCAATTTGGAGGGTATTACTTACAGATGTGGGTAGAACAGCCTTTTCAACACCAGTGCAATACCTTGCAGCCTTTAATATCTAAGACCTACACATATCTGAGGTTTTACACAGACACTTAAGTATCATTGTCTTCCTTCAATTAATACCATTACAGAACAAGAAAATAAATACAGTCAAACTGGTTGTATTAATTTGATCAGCGATATGCTGCTTACAGAGCTCACATCAAGCCCCACTTCTTTGTTTAGCAAATGTTTGTATTAAGGTACATGTAGTTCCTCAAGCCAGACCAGATCAAGACCAGGCAGCACACAGAATCTTTTCCTTCTCTATTGATCTACGTCTGGAGCACTTTTTACAGGACAGGAAAAAAATGCTGAAGTTCTTGGTAGAATTAAACACATTATCAATTGCATAATTGAAGACAAGCATGTCTGGTATGCTAGTACAAAGTCTAAACTGTCTTAGATGATTTCTAGGAGTTGTATAGCATTTTAACAGTAGAAATATTATCTTAATAGAAATATTTTCTTAGTAGACATCCCTATCTTTGTTCATGTTTGTACAACAGCTCTGATTTTAGTTAGTTTTGTCTAGGAAAGTAATGAATTCTACATGGAGGTATAATCTGATCTGCATAAGTTTCTACTGCACATACTCACGTGCGTCGGAAGGCAGCGCGAATATCCAAGTCTCCAGTTATTGGTGCTTCTGATGTGACAAAAAATGATGAACAAGAATGGGAGAGCAGGTCAAAATAATGCAAAAATGCAGTGCTATTTCTAAAGCTTTTCCTTTGCAGACTTTAAAAAATGTTCTTATATTGTAAATTGTGAAAAAATACATATTCATAGGTTGAAGCATCATCTTTAAACATGTTAGCCTTCACTAATTAGCTTTCAACATCCAGTGTTTCATGTATAACTGAATTATGTCTCATGCTTCATAACAACCTGCAGCATGACAAACCATCTTATCTCTTGTTTGTCAACTCTCCTGCTGGTAGATTTTAGTTTCAATACTGGCTTCACAGGGTGTTTAAACCCTAATGAGAAAACCACTATAGTCCCTTCAACAGAACTCCTGAAACAGGAAATGGTCCGAATGTTCAACAGTTTCAGGTGGGCCGTGCTTATAGTATTTTGCCTAAACTCTTCCACACTAGAGGGAAATTGATGTTAACGTCTACTTCCTTTTCAATTGCTGATAAGCTTTTCAGTGTAGCAGTTGTGAGGGTGACACCATGTGTTACATAAAATGAGTAATCTAATCTCAAAGCGATTTTATATCACAAGGTGCTTCCGCGTGACTTGAATTTATTGGGAAGAAAGGAATTGATAATAGTGTCACATGTCTACATCTTGTATTCCCCCCTTTTTTTTTCTTTTCGAGTATCCATTTTTACTACTGAGTTTTTGTCCAAGTAAGAATGGACTTCTCTTTTATTCTAGTGGCATTAAATACCAGGAGAGAATGGAGATGAAATCAGAATAAAGCCAGAGAAAAAGTTGGCTGATTTGCATCTTTCTGTGTGGTTTCTTTAAGAGCATCACAGTTCTTACTTCAGGGACATTCAAGTCATGATGCTCTATGTCTCTGTCAGCCCATCACAGTCTTCAGTTACGGGCCTCTGTAAGTGTACTTGTAGCTGTTCAGGTCTATACTTTAGATCTATGCTTGTCTAGCAGTGACTATGTGCCAGAAAGAGTTGTTGGTGGGCATACAGGAATTGAGAAAAGAAAATAAACAAGGTGGCAGGAATTCATCTTACCATTGACTGTCAGGTTGAAATTGGAACTATCAAACTTGTCCTTGGTAGACACCTCACATCTGTATCCTCCTGCAAAAGTCATGTTTGCTTCTATGATTTCCATTTCAAAGGTGTACACCTAGAACAGACACCAACAACATAATTCATAAGTTAGAAAATGAAATGGTGAAATAGAGACAGAGAATACAGCATATTAAAGCATGGAGAGAAATACACAAAGGATGAAATTAAGAACATCCTGAGCATGTAACTCATTACTGTCATAAAAATTACATATGCCTCCCCAATTTGGTAGGAACAGATAAAGAGTGTTATCAGTACGGGCTTCCAGAGGATACCATGTTACATGCACACACAGTAAGAATAGAGCTTTCATTAAACAAATACATCCTCTACCCAGAATGTATGTAGTTCATTTAAACATTCAGCAAAAGGAGTGGCTAGTTTCAACAAGTCTGTCCTGTTCCATCCAGGAGAGGGTAGTAGTGTTTCATATACCATACAGGATGAGACGTCATGGTACAGCCTCTTGGATTCCTGCTTGTATATCTTCGAACGAACACATTTGTGGTAAAAATGCATCTTACTCAGATATGGAAAGTAGTCTAGACAATGCAAGAGAACAAGAAATTCCAACACTAGTAGCGGGATGCTTGATCTGTTAAAACCAAGATAGACCATATCTAAATACCTGTCTGATTTATTGTTTTCTCTTAAATATAACAAGTATCTATTACTTGGGAGGAAGATGGAGGGAATCCTGCAGTAGATAGTGTAAAACTGCTCCCCTAGTCCTCCAGACATTTCCTTATTTCATCATGAGTAAGGTATGCAAGAGTCTGTATGTAATGCTTGCCTCTTGTCTGCATGATCAAAATATAGACATTTGAGCATAACTATGGCATTGTGTGTAGCTTTGGGTACCTTAATATCAAAGCATTCCTACCTTAGCTTAGATTTTCCCCAGATTAAAGATTGATATGTAGAAGACTGACACTCTTACTCTGCCAGTTGTACCTTGTTATTTCGATCATAACTGTCATGTAGCTGGAGATGTTTCCCCACTTTGCTTCCCAGGTCCATCCACTTCCCTTTGAACCACTTCACTGATGGTTTCTTCAGCAGGCTCTCACCTGCCACTTTGGCAGTGAATGTGATGTTTCCACCTTGTAAGGGAAGTAGGTTAAAATAGGATTATGAATAATGTTTAATTTTCCTGTTACATTACTGCTGTCATCCTGTACATGGAGAGCTAGATAGTCAAGCAACAGGTACAGTTTACAAACATCACTTGACTCACATTTTGTACTCACCAACAGTAACTTCTCCATCCTGGGGTCGTGTCACAAAGAGCCCAATCGGGTCCGGAGGCTCTTCTGGTTGAGTCCCAGCAGATGCAACTGAAATAAACATCAGAATTACTACTTTGAACTTTCTGCATCAGCTTCTGTTACAGCCTATGTAGTGAATTTATTAAGTAATTTCAAAATATCTCAATCTATTTCTTCTGTCTCTGAGATTCCTTATTCTTTGTCTGTCATTCATCACTAGGGGTCTGCTTTCAGCTGTCTCCACCTCACAGACTCTAAGGATTCCCTGTTCCTGTTCTCCCCGTCTGTTAATGAACCAGGCTCGATCACAGTGTTCGTTCTCTATTACCTTCTGTGTTTTGGCTGCTTTCTACTGGTGGAGCAGGTGTTTCTGAGGCAGCTGGGGCTGGAGCAGCTTGCGCAGGAACGCCTGGTCCCCTCC